GGGAATCAACAGACAACATTTGTTATCTTATCGAAAGTGTTGCCTACAAGGAGTTTTATAGCATTATACCTTCATAAGATTATAATTACGTATTAGTTGATATCGGGCATGCGATAGAAGGCAAAAGCAGGCGTAATCCCATGATTAGATAGCATCACCACCCACTTCCTTAAAGCTGGAATCAAAAAACTCTTCCTTCCAGCCACCCAGATGACACTTTACCTATAATAGAAAAAACTCCAGTTCAGTGGAGAGGTGTAGCACAATCAATCTACACAAGATTGGTAAGCAAAGGGATCTTTGTAACTATTACCTGACATTTTTGTTGCGTGCACTGTACAAACTCTCCACGAAGATCATTCTATCGAACTGATCAGGACTTTGTATGGTGCACAACTAGATGAACAAGCAGGACTTCGACAATGATCCTGCTCACCCACCTCCAAATCGTGTTAAAGTCCTTGAAGCCCATCGAAAATACCAGCTGATATTTCTCCTAACCTTCACGGAATACGAAAATACGCTTGCAAGCATCGAGATGAATGCACTCCCACCAGCACTCGTCGAGCACGGTTTGCCTACATATAAATTTTAGCCGACTTCTAAAATAAATTCACTGCCAAAGTCTCAAGAATAAAGCTTTTTTATCGAACTCTTACAACGTTCCAGAAGGAAAGGTGTTCCATGAGACAAAACCACTTCATCAAAGCTGTTCTCACCTCCGACTTGCAGGGAACAAATGAATCACTTGATCTGAATGAATACGATGTACTCCTCGACATAAAATTTCTGTGAAATCCTTGCTTTGCTGATGAAATCGTCACCTTTTCGAGGATTACGTCTGAAACAGATACAATGCTGAAGAAGCTAAGCCGAGCGGGAAGCGGTGGATTCTGCTGAACTAACAACTTGAAGACATGCTTTGTCTTCGAAGTAAGAAAAATTATCGAAACACTTGCCTCGAACACGTGATAGAGCAAAGTGTAGCTCTTCAAAGCTCTTCTAACAGCATTCTACTCCAGGATTTGGTGGGCCGACGTAGACATGATAGCTGTCAGTGAACATATTTCCAGAACACATCATTCTAGATGTTTCCATTGATTTACACCATCTCATTACATAAAGAAGAAACTCCCGAAACGGATTATCGATCTTTCAAATTACTGCATATAGGGAGGATTCTATATCTATTAGAATAAAATCATTATTATTATTAATTTATTATTATTATTATTAGTAATAATTATCAAATCACTATCTATAGGGGCGCCCGTGGCGCTGTGGTTGGGGGCGCCACTGCGACACACACGTGGATCCGACCCCCGCGCCCATGGGCCACCAGGCCCTCTATCCCTCCGTGTTCGGCAAATTGGTACCAGACTTGTCTGGGAGGATAGTAGCACTGGCTCAACACATCGGTAGGCCACCGCTAGTAAAAGCCACATATGTATTCAATCACCTCCAACGATACTTAATGAAATCGAATGCATGGCCCATCCCTCGGAGGTTGATCAACGCCGAGAGCTTTATCCTTTATCCTTTCATCTATACGAGAACGGACAGCGATAGCACAGTGGTAGTGACGTCCGTCATCACGAGTATGATGCTAGTTCAATTCCTTACCTGAAAAACAAGTCTTTCATAGCTCCGGAGTTAGGAAATTGCTACCGGACTTTTCTGGAAAAAAATTACCCTCGGCGATCCAATTGTGAACGCTACAGCTTGGCCATCTCAGGACTCCAGTGAGAATGGATTCAAACGACATTCTACGGCATTCGAGATGAAATTAAAATCCTCAAGTTGCAACCGAAGCCACACGTAGAAGTTGGAAGATTTTCGTGGACAGTGGATGAGAGGAAGTGAATTGAATGTGAGAAGTGCTGCGATCCACCGTGTCGACGTGAAGACGGGTCATACAAAATAAGACTAATGAAAAATTTTTTCTATTTTTTGAGAAAATAAAAGAATAAAAACTACTGTGTTATGTGATAAATAATTAACATTGCTTTAACTTTTCTTTAGTGCCTATTATTTTTCCCACGTTAGGGTTGTATGTGAAATGCAACCACAAGTATGCTGAGACTCCGAGTTTTGCTCATTCCTCGTTGTATATTGCCGAGGATTGTTTACTTGCAACTGCTGTGTACAGCATACCCTATATCTTCAGCGTATTCGCTATGGAGGCTCACTTGGCTTCGAATTTAAGGGTAACACCTAAAATGTTTGATTAGCGATGAAATAAGTGTAGCGATAAAGCGATTTTCAAGAAGGACAGATCTAGAGGAATCGGTAGCGATAATTGAAATACCACCGAATACTCTTCGTCGCTTAGTTCGTTAGTTCGTAACCGCCCATAGACCGTCTATGTGAAAGACAGAATTGCGTAATTTGCCCATATGGCAGGGACGGTGACTGCATGAGTTTAGGTACGATATACCTGATCTCTTGTAATAATTGCGGAGATGAATATATTGGCGAAACGAGCAGACCTTTATGTATCCGCATAAAAGAACAACTAGATGGCAAACGAAAGGCAAGGCAAGGCACGCCACTACGGACGCATAGAATAAAAAAGCATAGTGGAGACGATTTTGATAGGAAAGTTCCTATCCTCGCGCAGGATTCCAAAACACTAACGCGCAAACTTCTCGAGGCTTTCTGGATAAATGTCAAAAACCCTACAATGAATAGCAGGGAGAAATATCCAGAGATCAATGAAAAAAGCGGCGCGTTTTTCGAGAAGCCGTCGACCTTGTAAATATCGTTCACATTCCCATTCTTCTGTTTGTGCTGTTGAAGCGCTTGATCTAGTAAGTTGTGTATTAGTGTACCCTCCCAGGCTCTGAAGAAGGCGATTCTGCCGAAACGTCATCTACGACTGTGTTGTCTATGTGTTGTTGTCTGGAAGTGAACGTATGCTGTTTAACAACCTCGCGATTGCTGAACAAGAAAACGACACATTCATATTCCAATGGCAAGGTTAATACGAAGGCGAACCTGAGAACAAAATGTTTGAGATGTCACAGGTAGAAACGTGTACATATTCAGGACCGTTAGTTTTGAATAGTTGAAAACAAACGGTGTATTGTCTCGATCCTTCACACGCCGTGCAGACTCTGGAACGTTTTCGATTAATGCTCTTAGCACGTAGATGTAGTCATGTGGCTTTGTACGCAGATTTAGCTGCAAAGTTTGCTGTGCTGCGACAAGGGTTCTCCTAGGAGTGTAGTGAATCCTACTAGTACACCGCTTGGTCGAGGATGACGTGATGTGCCGATTCCGACTGCTATCTTAAGGGAAGTGTTTTGAAAAAGGAACAATACATGACCTTTTAAACGATCGTTATCGAAGTGGAGTTCATTTAGCAGTACCATCATTGAATACCCTACCAATTGACCATTTCGTCCAATGGGTCCTGTAAGTTTTCTCCTCGTTCTTCCTTGTTCTACGTCACTTGTTAAATATTGTATGGCGACGTTTCAGAGGAGGAAAAAACCAAAACAAAAATGTGAAAGGGAGAGAATGAAAGAAGGCGATATAGTGCAGAGTGAACAGTTCACGTACGTTCTAAGTTAACATTAATGGAGAAAAAAAAAGGAATAAGGGTTTGAGCAGCTTCTACTTTTTTTTTTGTACCCATGACTTTCTGACTATGAACTAGAATTAAACAGAGTTGAGGTAAAAGACGTAGCAATAAGAAGTGCTCTGGGAAGCGATTTCGTCGAAACTAAGCTTCAGCAGGCACGATGGCTATCTACTCTGAGCGGAAACTTCTTCATCGGCGTACAAGCACTTATGCAGCGATTATCAGTGGGATTTAAGAAATACTTCTCACGTCAGCGACTTTTCAACGACTTTCCCGCAATATATATATATATATATATATATATATTAGTAATAATATTAGGAATGACGTGAGAGGCTTGGAAATGAGAAGCGATTGAACGGCGCTGAATGACGCATGTAGACATTGTCATGCTTTCCGCAATACACACTTCAACTTCATGATTTTATTCCTTTCTCAACATTTGCCAGTAACATCGCCGTAGAATGCGCTACTTTTATGTCAGTCCTCTTAGAATGTTACCGGAGCAGAGTGTGCCTATTTATGGTTCTTCATAGGGATTTCAAATGTCAGATCGCTAGTCGTAGTATTAACTGGAAAAGCTAGAAGCGCTGCAACCAGAGCAGTACGGATTACAAGAGCTCCTTTCTTCCACCATTAAAACTGTTTCTAAAATATCAATGACGCATAGAACCTAGCGAATTTAGGCTGCACTTCACTCATTTAGTTTTCAGTACTGTAGTGTACTACCGCATAGACCCGAAATGCTATTCAACCAGTAGTTATCGATATACACGGAACAATAAGAGAAATCGGTCATGTGCTTCAAATCACTTGAAATAAATTATAAAAAAATTGTGATACGTCTTGTTAAGATGTCTTCAATCTACTTCCTATCATTTCCGGAGCTTCAGTTCTTTCATCTACATCAGATGAATAATTTTAAATTGTTGAACTGTGTTCAAATTGTCTTGCATGAACCACTTATTAGCGAATAATGTAAAGCGCATAATGCCCACATTGTTTAGTAGTTAGAGACTTCATGCAACCCACACGTGCTCATTGGTTCGATTTCCCACTCGAGGACCTCTAAGCCTTCTTCTTCCTCTGGCGTTGTTAAAATAGTGCTAGAGTTCTATGGAAAATAAACACTTACTACGCAAATTATTAAGATATGCTTTAACCCCTAGTAAGCATTTGAACTATATTTATCCCGTGAACTGGCAGATCGGTTTAGGATTCTTGATAGAAATAGCAACCTCAATAATAAAAGGATAAAGCTTTCTGCGTCAATCAATCCCTGGGGAAGGAGGTGTGTAATGCATTCGGCTTCATAAGCATCGTTAGACATGATTGAATGCATATCTGGCCTGCACAATGATTCGCAGTGGCCTACCGATGTATCCAGTCAGTGTCGGTATCCTCTCAGAAAGGTCTGGCACCAATTTGTCGAGCCCGGACGGATGGAAGGCATGGTGGGTCATGGGCACGGGAAACGACTCCACGTGTGTGTTCCAGGGCGCCTCCGACCACTGCGCCACACACGCCCTTTCACGATTACGATCGTTAAATGACGTCATTGTTCTCTCCGACAGGAAAATTACTCCAACTTTTCTGCGCAAAAACAAATAGTAGCAGATGTGTTTCCTTCCGTATTAGTTATTTCGTGTTATTTTAGCAACAATTGTCAGCATTTTCACATTCCAGATGGCGCGTGATAAAATTGCTTGGCTCGGGTGGATTTGGTGATGTGTATAAGGTTGCAAAAGTAAACGATCCAGACAAAACAGTTGGTGTTTTCTTTTAGGGATAGAACAGAAAAGATTCAGAAAGCTCAGAAAATCGTTTAGGAGTCCGCTATGAAGACCGAAATGGTAGTCGGTAATCGGCAAATGCTTCGCTTGAAAATTGAAGTTTTGGTGCTGATGAAGTGCCATGAACAAACCGATCCAGCGAGAAAGGGCCACTTTGTCGCGTTCGTCGATCGAGGCAAAACGGATAAATTCAAGGCAGGTTATCAGTGTATAATAGTCATGCAATACTTCTAAAACACTGATCTTAAGCGTCGATGTTTCGACGAGGTTGAAGTAACTTTGCAACTTTCCACCTTTCTTTACTCGGCCGGCTTCAGTGATCTGATGAAGCTTTCTCGAGAATAGGGGATGGTTGAACAAGCACAGACTTTTTAGAACGCAAGTGATGCTTACATAGCAGATTTTCTTCAACAACAATATACAAGGTTTAAACGTCTTTAACGGGACTGGTATTTTAATAGTGACCTAGGTGAACCACGAATAATAGTGACCTAGGTGAAGCACGAGTTAGTGTGATGCGACTGGGAGTGCTTAAAATTGGAATCTCAAAGAATTTCGCGTTACGGTCGTCGTTCAAGTTCTATTAGATTTTGTTACCCTATCCTAATATTCTAAGGGCGTCTCTAAATTTGTCCCTTTAAACATTACAGTAACAAAGGTTCTTTTGGATTCAGAAAGACGTTATCCTTACGAAAAGAGCGGAACTAATTAGTTATCTCTTTCCTGGAAATGGCCATTTTCTTCCAGTCCTCTGCAGTACTTTCTCGTCCATCTGCAGCCGGCGATATCAAATACACAGCCAATTCTCCAAGTATCTGTTCACAATGTTTAACGTTTTGTTTTCTGCCTTCTATAATTTTCATGGCAGGTTACTAAGCGAAATACAACCACAACGTTGCTGAGATATTTGCAACTCTGGACCGTAGGTGTCTATGGTGGGAAACGAACGCGCTATTGTCCTTTCCGGGGAGTAACGCGTTCACCACCACACCATGCGGGTCCTTCGTTTCGCCTGTCTCTCATCTATTTCTATCGATCTTTTTGCCACAGCAATCACCCGTCAGCGGGGTTGAACTGGGGAGCGCAAATCGGCATAGAACCCAGTTAAGCCATGGCTACAGTTGATCTCAGTAACGTTATGGTTGTATCTGTTCACAGTTTTAGTACCCGCATGGTGTAGTGGTGAACGCGTTAGCCCCGGAAAGGACGATAGCGCGTTCGTTTCCCACCGCAGACACCTTCGGTCCGGAATTTTGCAAATATCTCAGCATCATTGTGGTAGTATTTGTTTATATTTCTTTTTTTTAAATTTCGTTTGCATCTTCTGGTGGAGTTCTAAAAGGGAATAGTTGTGGAAGGAGTCAAATTTCTAACCATTAACCATCCTAGGTTTATGTTGTTGAGTTTTTCTTTAAATAATTTATTACGGTTGCTGAATGCTAGGCGTAGGAGAGTATAAATCGCTACTCTTGGATGGGAACAATGACTGAAGAGAAAACGATAGCGCCAAAATCAAGAAAGCTCTCCGAAGACTTCGGATGGGAATTTAGAAAAGAACTTAAGAACACATATTTAAAATCGTGCACTTCTTCAGATACTACTGAAAAATTCCTAAAACCCAAAGCGAGTGTATTCAATGTTACGTTGAATAGGTCTTGCACTCTAGGGTTTTATATTAACCTAGATCTACAAATCGGTATTTTAATGGTTATGCATCTGCTGGTACGCGTGAATCTGAAGATTTCGTGTTTCGCGACAAAGTTTTTTTCACGACAGTATCAAATCCTTAGATTGGTGTAATCCTGAAAGTCAAATTTCGTTTTGCTTCGAAGGAGCTGTGAGCTACTTATGGTTCCATGTAGCAGTTCGACACACAAGAAAATCAAGGGTGAACGAGTACATAATGAAGGAGATTCACTCATGGACCGTAAGATTTTCGTTTGCTGATTCTCTTCTTTTACAGTTCCTAGTGATGGGTCTAGTGGGACCGTCGCTGGAGGATATACGACGAAAAGACTTACTGAAAAATTACTCAAAGGCGACAGCAATGACGTGCTGTATACAGACATTAACAGCGCTACGTGACTTGCATGGAATTGGATATATACACAGGTAGGGTCAGCTTTAGGAAGGCATGCGTTCTTTTGCTGTTCATAAAAACAATTTATGAGAGGTAAAAATGTGGTGGATTCGTCAGTGACAAAGGCAAGTTTCAAGAGGTATTTCTCTTCTGGGGAGTTGAGAATTTGGACTTTGCTCATTCAAGGGTAAGGGCCACTTTCTTCTACTCAGAAGAAAGCTAACCAGTTGATACCGTTTTTTTTTTCCAGTCTTAATATATGTTCTACAAAAAAGCAGCGAACGACTGCTCGACAATTTTCTAAAACGAATAGAAGTTGATGACGACAATAGATTCACTATTCTGACCACCATCTAAATATTGGAGAAAAATACGAATGGTAGTTCAGATTCTCGAAAGGTAGCTTATGTTGGTAAACATGTAACGAGTCAAAATTGTCATAAGGAAAGCGATAAAGCTCTTGGCGTTAATCAATCCCTAAGCGATGCGCCATCCATTCTACTTCACTAAACATCGTTTTGAGGTGAGTGGATGCAAATCTGGCCTTGACGATGACTCGCGACTGGCTTACTGATGTATCGAGCCAGTGCTGCTATTCCTCCAGACAAGTCTAGTTCCAATTTGACGACTCCGGAGGGGTCGAAGGCTTGGTAGTCCATGGGAGCGAAGATCGATTTCAGATGTGTGTTGCAGAGCGCCTCCGACCACTGTCCCACATGCGCCTCACACTTGCCATAAGGATGCTAATCTCCTCAGGAATTCTTGTGATTAGCCAGTAATTGGCAATATGGTTTTGCTTCACATGTGATGCGATGGAGCATAAATGGGCCAAGTAAATTATGAAACAATTAACTTATTCTAGGAAATTGTCGGTATTTTACCCTGTCTTAGTTAATCCCGTTCCCACAAGAGTAGAGAGAGTAGAGCTCAGTATTTTTCATGATGCGCTATTGTCTCGAAATGCGCATCTTTTTGTTTCTATAACGATGTATATTCTAGAATTGCGAATTTCAATTCGTCAAAGTGGCTTATGAAGGATCTTTACTTATTAAGTATGGATGATTGGTTTCTTGCCTCCCAACGGTTTACCGCGTCATCGTGGCTGGGAGATTTTCCTGGGTGTCGGACTGCGATGTACAACGGGAAGATTCGTCCCTCCGGCAGGGTCTCCCAACTGAGAAGGAGTCCGACGTTTCCATCAGGAAGCCTACCTAAGAGTAAACCAATTCCAGGATCCACCACCGTCCTGGTATCAAAGTCGTATGGTGGCAAATCTCTCTCTGATCCACAGGGGTGCCTGTTGTGGTGACGACCTGAGGCAGACTTTGGCCAGAATATCCTCGGGATTCCAGGGAACCACAATGGCTTAACCAGCAGATCTCCGAAAAATGGTGATTATGCTCGGGCCCGCACAACTAGTGAGGGCTGGTCGTTCAAGTATCAAGTAAGATTGATTTCTTGACTTGTTCCTTCCAAACATAGCAAAACCGTTGTTTAAGCGAACGAAAGTAAAACAAAGTCTTATCTTGCACTATTACAATAGTTCAGCGTATTCCGCAACTGTGTGGATGTTTGATTGTTCATTGGAAAACACTTCGGGATCCTAAATAAAGCCCCGCTAGTCGCATATTTATTCTTTCCTTAAAGAATGTTGATATCACTATTTACAAAACTCGAGACCGCAGATGTCCGCGGTGGGGAGCGAACGCGCTATCAGTCTTTCCGGAGGCTAACGGGTGCGTCACCACACTATGCGGGTCCTTCGTTTCGCGTGTCTCTCAGCTAGTTTTTTATCGATCAGTGCCATCAAAAATCATCCGTCAACGGGACTGATCTGAGGAACCCAAATCGGCATTGAACCCAGTCAAGCTGAGGCTGTAGTTAAAATCACAATGCCTACTTTCTTATTTGCTGCCTACTACAATTTTTTACAGCAGGGTGTATCATGTGAAATACAACCACAATGGTGCTAAGATATTTGAAAAACTCCGGACCAATGCCGATAGGAGCTCTCTAGATCAATCCCGTTGACGGATGACTGCTGATGGAACCTATCGATAGAAAACTAGCTGAGAGACAGGCGAAACTAAAGACTCGCAAGGTGTTGTGGTGATGAACTCGTTAGTCCCCGAAAAGGGTAACAGCGCGTTCGTTCCCCACTACAGACGCATGCGGTCCTGAGTTTTGCAAATATCTTAGCATCATTGTCGTTATTAGGCAGCAAATAAAAAGTTATCATCGTACCATATTCATTTCTTGCAACAAGTGACTTAGTTATTTTTTGATTATTATTTGCAAGAATACACTTTTTTCTATTACAAACATATTTGCTTGAGGGATATAAAACCGCAAAACTACGCAATTGGCCTGGGTGAGAAAGAATCAACGATCTATATGTTGGACTTCGGAATCGCAAGAAAGTACACCGTTGGTGATACCAAAGTGGTGAAGTGGGTCTGAATACGAAAAACACAGCATACAGAATTATACTCCTTCGCGATGCAATAATATGAAGCATAAAAATTTCAAAATCATATTTAGGGTTCCTCGGGTAAAAGTGCATTTCTTGGGAACACTGCGGTTCGCGTCACGAGCGTGTCACAAGCAGATTGAGCAAGGATGCAAGGACGACTTGGAATGCTGGCTATATATGGTACCGTTGCAGAAGTTTCTACATACATCGTTCTCATCAATCAATCTTACTTGATACTTGATACTTGAATGGCCCGTCCTCACTGGTTGTGCTGGCTCCAGCATAATCTCCATTTTTCGGAGATTCGCTGGTTAAACCATTATGATTCCCTGGAATCTCGAGATCAGCCAGGCCAAAGCTTGCCCCAGATCTTCACCACCACAGGCAGTCGCCGCCCTTGTGGATCAGAGGGGGATTTGTCACCATTCGACTTTGGTACCAGGATTGTGGTGAATCCTGGTATTGGTTTACTCTTAGCTAGGCGTCCTGATGGAAACGCCGGACTCCTCAGTTGGGAGACCCTACCAGGGAGGATGAATGCCCCGCTGTACATCGCAGCGTGACACCCAGGAATACCTCCCAGCCACGATGAGGCGGTTAACCGTTGGGACGCATCAATCAATCAATCAGATAGGTAAAGTGAACGCGAAAAATGTGCAATGGGGTTTTAGAATAAGTTTGCTAGGAAGGCTGAAACGCTGAAAGCTCGTTAGAATATTGTAATTCAAATAGGAACGAAGTTGCTACTCGGTACATTACCTAATCTGGGTTTAAAGAGTTATAACACTTGAGAGAGTATGTGTTGGAACAAATAAAGCTCCTCAATTTTGAACGATTTCAAGATTCATCGATATAAGGAGGTGAAAAATTGGTACCATAGAAAACGTAAACAACCCCTTCTTCTCATTTCTTGTCCGATAAGAGAGGAGCAACGTTGTGACCAACATCATAACACACTGAAACACTGATGAAATCTCAGCGTCGATGGCAGCCTCTGCCTGCCTCAGTCATAATACCCACTTAGTCGCCGCAAATTAACAGCAGATCTGTTCCCTTTTAATACGTGTTATTAATAGCTATTACTGCTAATGAAAAGGAAGAGGGCGTTCAATAAAGTGCGTATCCCTCAAGAGTTGATCAACGTCAAACGCTCTATCACTTGGGCTTTTATTACTTACTTGTATACTTGGATGGCCCGTCTTCACTGGTTATGTGGGCCACGGCATAATTTCCATTTGCTTCTCTCTCATTCAACAGGCGAACATGGTGGGGGTCTGCTTCGAGCATGGTGACGTCCGCGAGGGCCATTCCGTAATCCTGAACATATGCGAGTGCAGATGGTTAACGTTAGCCACGAACACATCTTCGCACCGTTCGCGTGGTTTTTCACGAGAATGCTTGTCCGTTGGTTGGTCGGTAGCTTCTCTGAATGGCACGAATGACGCTCTTGCCGCTCTCGTCTTGTCCTACCTAGTTTCTTCCCTATATTGTTCTCCATGTTCACTGAACGTCAATGTACATTTGCGAGGTGATTTTTGTAATTAGAGGACCATCCAGTTCGATTTGTTCACGTTCGCACCATGGGTTCTCTTCTTCGTCCTATGTATGCTGATTTATTCGGTTTTCCTACTCTGTTGAGTTCATTGAGCATCGTCTTTACATTACTGGTACGCCTAGAAAAGATAACGATGTCATACGCCAAACGAACGTTGGATAGGAATTTTTTATCAATATGTATGCCATTCCGGTCCTAGTCGAGTAACTTCATTAACCACTGCTGTGCGTCAATAAACAACTTTGGCGGTATTGTACCGCCTTTGCAGAGGTATGGGGAGGAATCGATGAGAAAACTCTATATTTGCGCCGCAGTTCCGATTAATCTGCTGGTGTTCGTATATAGGAAGTGTCGACGAGTGCTGTCAGGATTGCATCCATTTCTACACTGTCAAACGCGTTTTCGTAGTCGACAAAGCTTAGAAGAAGACACGGATAGTGTTCCCTCCAGAATTCTATGAGACCTAATAAGGTTTGGATTTAGTCCATGCAGCAGAATCGCTGTTGGGGTCCTGGATCTGGTTAAAAGATTGCGTGCCTTGCCTCATCCAAGGTCTTCGATATGCTCAAAAGATAATCTCGTGAGGAGGTTTTAGATCACATTCAGCATCCAGATTGGACGGTAGATTAAAAAAATTCCTTAGCTCACGCTTCTTGGGAAGGATAATCGTGCGTGATGTCCTTCACTAGTCTGAGATTTTCTCTTTCTGAAGAAAGGATGTCATGTGGAATGGGAGAAGGACATGTAATTTGTGGCAACCAGCCCTAAGAAAATTGGTGGTGATATTATCGGGTCCAGGAGCTGCGCCTTATTTCATGCATTCTATTGCAGCTCGAACTTCAGTGAGTGGACTTGCGAGCCTCTTCACCGGTGAGGATTTCAGGGTCAAAGACGGAGATTGTGGGGCGGAAAAGATTGGTATATATCACGGAGATTTAGTGGTAGTCCTATCCTCGTCTATCAATGCGGATAGTGGGGCATTATAGTCGCAAAGATCCCGACGACTGTTTTTCAGATAGGATCGTTTTGGAGTTGCTTCGAACAACTCTTTATGCCTACATCGATGTGAATCCTCTCGCAAAAATTTTCTACAACTGGTATTTATTATTCACCGGTACAGTTTCCTTCTCTTTTGAACAACAGGCCCGATTTTTTCCTTGAAGAACTGAAGCATGTTCGGTACAAGTCTTAAGCCCTTCGACAAACAATTTGTAGTCGGTCTTCCTTTATCGGTCAGGCATATAAGGAGAGGGTATTACTGAAACTAGCCTTGTCATACACGTCTTGTCTTCTTTTTTTTGATGGTGAGAGTTCTTTCCCAACTCGTAGCTGAATCTAGTCTTCCACGAAGGAGGCGGTGATCGGAACGAATTAGGAAATTCATGTGCCGTTAAGTTGTCAAAGAACCACCATTTTCTGTTCCTGAGAAAATGATCGATTCCTGTATGAGTCGTCCTTTTGGAAGACCCCTTCATCTATCGATGGTCTTCTCTCTTTTGGAAAAATGGTTTCCCATGGAAGAGACGTGTATAGGACTGGACTCCCAAATGACGGTTTCCATTTTTATTTCGATCCTCTATTGCGAATATCCCTATCCCGTACTCATTTTCGCTGGCCGTTCCAAATCTGGCGTTGCAGCCTACAACAGCGAATTTATAGAAAGATATTTCATTGTGGATTAGCTCTTTCCACTAGTTGTAAAATACATCCAGTTCGCTCTCATTAGCTGTAGAAGTTGGTAATTAACAGTTTTCTTTTGGCACACAAGATGGATATGTAGAACAACCAAGAACGGCGGCTTTGTCTCACCGCTCGATGTCGTAGACGGGAATGCCTAGTATGGAAAGTAGTGAAGAAGGAAATTTGCTTGCTGAGCTTTAATTCTAGCACTAGTTCCCTGGAGTTCTAAGGCCGCTAACCAAAGCCTGCCCCAGACCATCACCACAGGCCGTGGCCGCACTTGTGGATCACAGAAAGATTCGTCACCTTGAGACTAGTTTGGTATGGAACCAGTGGTAATTCCTGGTATTGATTTACTCATAGTTGGGCCTTCGGATAGAAATGTCGGACTTATTCTCAGCCTGAGAACCTGGGAGTCCCTCCCTTCGCTGTACATCGCAGCCCGACACCCAGGAAGATCACAATGGGCGGTAAATGGTTGGGAAGTCCTTTTATTAGTGCTTGTAAGAACGGTCGAATTTCCAAATCATTTTTCTAAAGTTGTCCAATTACAAACACCATTAGAGGGCGACAAAGACGGGAAAAATTCAGACAAGAAGACAAGAAATACATTCTTGCAGTGTTTCGATCTTTTCGACGATACGAACGGCTTGAAATGGAAGAGATGTGACCGGAGTGAAATTCTCGGAATGAAGGAAAAATTTTTTAAACTAGAATGTGGGTAACGATTTCTAGTAAGACTGCGTGGCACTTAGTACTTCTTCACATATAGCATACAATATTATTCCTCATCACAGTTTTGATAATATGAACATTAATAATATTGGTCTCTTGCTGTCGAAGACAATCATATATGATGCAAGTGTTTCTGGGCAGTGTGGCCGAAATGCATCACATGTGACGCACTTCATTCTTGGCAGTCCACTTTACCTCACAGGGCTTTTTTCTGCACTTTTTTGTAATCACTGGATAGCTTATCCAACACAGATTTTCTTGCTCGCATAGTCAAGGAAAGACTCCGAGCTGAAGTTAAGAATGTACAGGAAGGTCTTTTTGGATCTGTTCATATAGTTGCACATATTCCATGCATACAAAATGTGCATAACATAATGACACCTTAACAAATGCCGGAAACTAGTACGACGGTGAACGGGTTTTCCCTTATGTGCAAGAGTTGGATATGCTCCAAGAGCATGGAACTATACGTAGAAGAGTGTGTACGGCACGTACGATATGAAAAGCCCATTCATTACGAGTAAAGGAGACAAAAACGACTGATAAAGCGAAAAATCTGGCAATAAAAGCAAGGTTACTTGCATGGAGGTACTTCGACTAATGTGCGTCACACATGATTCAATTGGAGAGCGGCAAAAAATGGCTATAGTCCCATTTCTTAACCAACAAGATTGGGCGTCGGCACCAATGGCTTAGTAAAAGTAGTAATAATACTCACCTAAATACTCAGATAATCCGTCTTCATTTGTCGGTCTCTGCACCTATATTTGTTTCCTTGCCTTGTAATCGTCATACATGAACATGATGAGTTCAAACGCGCTGTCAGGTGTTCTACAGGAACAGTGTGAATGTCTACATTCTGGAGTCATGGTTCATTCATGGTCGCAGTCTTGCAAAAGACCAGCCTAGTCAAGGAACTGTGCCATGGATGAAGCATCTAACTGCAGCTCGAACTTTTGCGGTAAGGATTACACGTGATGTTCCTTCATTGGAGATGGTAGTGCCCGGTACAGGCGCTCTGCATCAAAACGGGTTTGCGTAGAATCTCTGTTTTTGATGTTGTCCTACCACGGGTAGTTGAGAAACACAACTCTTCACCGAGTGCAGCAGAAAATGGAGTGCTGTATTCACAAGGATTTCGATGGCATTTTCTTACCCTTTTTTTATTTATGTTTCCTATAGAGTCTTCATCTGACACAATGATCCATTACTGCATGAGTCATCCCGCTTGAGGATTCCCAAGTGCAGCGGAGGTGGTCTTTTTTCCATAAGAAGGAATTCCCATGGAAGAATCTAGTCGCAGAGAGTGGTTTTGCGGGACTATCTCCATTCTCACTGCAGTGACCTAGTAAGCAATTTTCGACTCTGTGCTCTTGTTCATGAGCTGTCTTTGCATTAAAGCCGCCATTAAAAAGTTTCCAGAAAGTTTGCTCTTCAAGTTCCTGGAGAATTTCAAAAATGGTGTGAAGTTCCTCGGATATCATTTCGTTTTGCCATCATTCTAGGCCGGCCATCGCAATAATAATAATAAAATTACCTAGGTAAAGTAGGACAATGAGGTGCCACTGACATCAGTATAAGAGGAGGTCCAGTCAGAAGTCGCCTCTGGGTCAGCCAAATACTTCATTCAGTCAGATCACCAGAGTCGTTTGCTAAAAATGAGGACACCTTGTGGCATTTCGTAGTCCCAAGTCTACCCTACACTCATGTGCCAGTGAAATAACGAACAGATCACAACTGCGAGGAGCATTTCACGGCTTCTATCAACACCAGGGACTCTCTGACCCATGACATTATCGTAATAATAATCAATTTCCCCAAAAATAGGTAAATGGTGCAGAAATGAGTAAAAATGTGAAAACGAACAAAAAAATGTTTTAGACAGCTCCTGCTACAAAATAGTTCCCGACGATTTCAAACGTATTGTGCAGTACATCGATGGGTTGAAATATAGTGACGAGCCGGACTATATGTTAGTTCTTATTTACATCTTATGATTTCCGTTAATCTTATAGTACTTAAGATAACAGCAGAGAAATAGTCCACTGCTGGGCTATACCAACAAATCATTTACTATCGTTTATTAGAGGCACACCAATGTTATTAGCTAGTTTAGCTAATAGTACACCATCACTGTATTTTATATCGAACGCGGAAAGCTTGTATTGACCAGAAGTGCCGCGTTTGTTATCAAGAAGAGTGATTAAGGAACCGAATGTAGGTTTTGAGAAGTCCGCATTAATGTGTGAACGTTAATCAAGAAACCTGTCTAACTATCGTGGTCTTGGACTTCTGCAGAGCTCTACCCTATAACGCTCATTAGAAATCATTGAGATAAATCGCTTGTATCATTGTGGTGATCGTAGCGAGAAGGCCGTAGTAAAATATCCAATTGTCTTTGTCGCGTCCAAGGATGGAGCAGTTAATTGCACTTTCGCTGTGGAATCGCTAGGCATCGCACTTTTCTTCCAGGACCTTCCTAAAGAATTATGACCATGACGTCTGCGGCCTTTCCGATGCGCGCTGCCCTCGCCCATCTGTTGCCAATTAGATGATGCATCACATGCGCTGCTCACCTGATTTTCGATATTTTGGATTCCTTTTCTCAATTGCTCTATTCGAAATACTCCCAGGATCGCGCACTTGACTGCATGTTCTATTATGGTGAGTGATCATCCATCCTGTATACGTAGCAACCATGTTTTGAAGCGCACGTTATGGCGGATAGAATTGTCGTGATGAAAAGATGAAGAGTAGAGTGCTTTTTTCTATTATATCTTCGATACAGGCGCGTGTGGTGCAGTGGTTGGAGGCCCCACTGCGACACACGTGGAATCGATTCCCGTGCCCATGGTCCACCAAGCCTTCCATCACTCCGGGGTTGGTAAATTGGTACCAGACTTGTCTGGGAGGCAGCAGCACTGGCTCGATGCATCGGTAGGTCACCGCGAGACATTGTGGAGGCCAGATATGCATTCAATCACCTCCGAATGATGCCTAATGAAGTCGAATGCATGGCGCATCCCTCAGCGATTAATCAACCTCGAGAGCTTTATCCTTTTGTTATCCTTGATGCTTTTGAAATCTTCGTCGCTTCCTCCTCAATAACTCTGGAGCTCTGTCAGTCCTCATGTTGACTTCATGACCTAGACAAATGCAGCTGGAGCGTATGGAAATTTTCATCATATTGAGAGTGAATAGGACATAAATAAATCCATTACTGGTGAACATCGTCCTCCTAAGATTTGGTTGAAGGTCAATCTTTCTACGAGCGTTGTTGAAGTCAGCGAACATTTGTTCCGCCTGCCGATCTTTCATGTTTATAGTTGATATCATCACCAAAGTAAACATGATGTAATTTCCAACTATCAATTTTCACTCCCGTATGATCCTTTTCCAAATTTTGAGCTGCGTTCTCGGGGTGGTTGTAAATAATTCTGGTGAGACTTTATCGTTTTCCCGACCATTCTGGGAGCTTTGTTACAAAACTGTTATATAGCTCATGAATAATTCTTGTATTTTTATGAGATACACCTTAACTGTACAGACTCCATGGATTCCTCGTCTTTCGTAGATTATAATGGTGTTGTAAAATACTGGTATTCTGGTTGTAATGTCGTTATATAGTTTACGAAAAAACTTTATATCCTGAGTAGGGATGTTACGGGATAGAAGCGATGTTCTTTGATGGGTTTCCTTAGCATGTAGATGTGGTCTATACAAAAGCATCCTTTTTAGCGCCTTGCTTGCTTCCACGCTAGGATGACATATCCATCTCCTTTGATGGAAACAGAAGGAGGCGATTGTTGAAGAGACCAGAATAGAATTCTTGGTTACCTCCAAACTGTAGGCTAGGCTTTTCTAGCTCTAAGGTGATAGTATTGAGTAAATCTATCGAAGTCCTCTACAGTTGATCATAGTTGTGGTCTCCGTAATGTGACAGGTAATAGTTGTGTCTTGCTTAGTATGGTGGCTGGTAATAGCTGGACTGTCCTTACTGTTGGCCTTTTTGCGGGGACATCTGACCACTTGCCACTTGGTCATAGTAGTATCCTCCGTACTGTGGGACTTCGTAGTAGTGGTATTCTCCGTGTTGTTCACCTCGTACGGCTTTGTGAGCATGGGTTGTATCGAAATATTGTGAACCAGATAAGCCCTTTTCCATCGAACCGAGCTGTGAAACCGGTGTATTGCTGTCACTCACGGGTTCCTAATTGGTAGAGTTCAGTAGGTTTGAAGTGTAATAATCACAATCATAATAGTATGCTGCTACTATTGTTACAAATTCACGAAAACCTAACCAGTGTTAAACGATACATTGTTCCGATCTCAAACTTGGGTAATTAGGCCTTAGCCCTTGCTTTTTGCTTCTTTTTAGTTTTTATCCTTTCATCGAATTTCTCACCATTGTATCGTCATTTTCGCAGTACTGGCTAATGTTCTTAACAAGCTTTTCTAAATCTCGCAGCGATAGTTCTGTACGCAAAAAAAAGAAACCACACATGGAGGGGATGAGTATGTGTCTCATAAAACGTTGGAAAACAGAGATATCTTTGGAGCAAGACCTTGGGCTTACTATCACCAACGTATCCCACTCTATTCGTTTCACCAAAATCCGTCGTTCTTAATGGGAAGTCCTTTAGGCATTCTCTTAGATCAAACATTAGTGTTAAGGCTTCTCTTCAAGTCCATATAGAACGATCTTGTCTTCGTATGAAATGCTGAGATATTTGCAAAACTCCGGACCACAGGTGTATGCAGTGGGGAACGAACACGCGCTGTTGTCCTTACCGGGGAGCAGCGCACTTCACCACTACACCATCCGGGTCCTTCGCTCTGCATGCCTCTCAGCTAGTTCTATCGATCTTTTGCCATCAGCAATCACCCGTCAACGGGATTGATCTGGGGAGCCAATATCGGCATTGAACCCAGTTAAGCTGAGGCTTAGTTATAATCACAATCGCTGCTCCCCGGTAAGGACAACAGCGCGTGTTCGTTCCCCACTGCATACACCTGTGGTCCGGAGTTTTGCAAATATCTCAGCATTTCATACGAGTTATAATTCGAAACATACCCTGCCAGTAAGAAGAAAAAGGCAGTAAATAAAAGAGCAAGATCTTGTCTTCGTTATAAACAGCTTTGCGTGCGAGAGCACGCTTCAAAGATTATCAAAACTGATGTTGATCCACATCTCTCCACCCGTAAACACCCGACTTGAGGTTGTTAGTTGTTCAAAAGAGTCTATGCTTACCATTAAACTCGTGTAGACAAGCGCGCCGACGTCGTCAACTTGTTTAATGCCGGATGTTCCGAGGAGCAGTTCTTCTCCGGTATCACAAACGAAATTAAACCTGCGTTTGCTCATCATTTAACCGGCAACTGCTCATTTCGGCCGGTCCAACGACGTCGTATCCTAATCCTCTTAGCCTGCAGCGTCAAGACCTCAATGGATGATTCAGATGCCAATGTGTATACATTATTGAAGTAGGTTTCCTCTTTAGTGCTTTCAGGTTTATGAAGCAAAGAATGGTTCTGAGACCTTATCAGTCTATACTCGCGTACTTAATACAATTTTATGGTCAGAGGGATTAAGTCCATCTACTTTATTGTCTTGGCGGCTTCATACCCAAAGAGAACTTGCCGAGCTCTTGCTTTAGAGTCAGATATACGCACTGATACCTAGCTGGTCGTTCTACATACTTCCCAATTACTTGTTTGCGGGTTTTTGCTCAAACCATTTTATAATAGAATATAATCTACATACACACGATTACACCCACTCGCACATGCGTAGACATAAATGTGAACGTAAATAGGGAAGGTATATCCCAATTCAAAGCAGCAGAAAGTTCACCTCATAAGTCCGCTTGGTGAGTCCCAATGACAAGGTCGCTTCTGGTCTGCTTTTGACTCTCTATCTGTTATCTCACGACTCCTCATGAGCTAGTGATTAACCATGTTTGCATCTCTCAGTGAGCAACATACGTAGAGATACATATCCAAATGAAATTAGGTGCGAACAAACACATTCCGATGTAATTTCCGTTCGAAAATAAGCAAAGTTAAATCAATAGCTGTGAACCTAGTGATAACCAAACCGAAAACTAACCACATCATTCTAGTTACATGCGGAATGCACTTGCGGCCATTTCGAAAGAGGCTCGAATTGATTTCTCAAAACCACTTGATTGGGCCGGCATAACCGCCAAACGGAAGGAAAATGAGAAAAAAATGGAAGATGTCAGTAGCTTACGTTTTTATGTCAGAAATCGCTAATCAAGTGTTCAAGAATCTCCCATACTAGAAAGCGGAGTAACAACTATAGATAAGGTAGCATGATTCAAAAGCATCTACTTCTGATCTCAATTCCCAAGACGGTCTTTCCCTTTAGACTTGAAACAAATCAAGAGGTTCCTGTATTTTGTAGAGACGTCATCGACTTGTTGGTGAAGCTTGTTAGTGAAGTTAGTGAAGTGTTTGTCTGAAAACGGCAAATAATCCGATAGATTTCGCGTTCTTCAGAGTCTAGGAAATGTCATATTACTGGCTAGAATCAAAAATGGACTCCGATTTTGGGCAGGCAGTTTAAAGTTCTATAACTGGCCCAAGGAGTGGTTAGCATAGTGGCAGCGGTATCAGTCATCTCGAGCGCGATGCTAGTTCGATCACGCTCCGGGACCACCAAGCTTCTCATCCCCGTGGATTCGAGAAATTGATGCCCGACTTTTCCGCATAAAAATCACTCTTTGCAGTCCAACTGGGAACGCTTTAGCCCGACTATCTCAGGACTCCAGGGAGAATCGACTCGAACAGAATTCTATGACATTCAACATAAAATAAAAATCCTCAACCGTCAGTCGAAGCCACACTTAAAAGTTGTAAGGCTTTAGTACATGATGGATGCGAGGAAAAGAAAAGAACGTGAGAAGTGCTGGGATCCGCACAGTAGATATGAAGAGGGTCTTCTGTAATAATAAATAAAAAAATAACTAGGCCAAAAAACCTTTGTAAATCGAAATATGAGCCGTTGCAGTTTATATATTTTCGCTTACAAGTCTATTTATTCTGGTAGCATAGAGTACTTATGTTCTGGAGACGACGAATTTTTCAAGGGTATTTTCAGCAGATGGCTTCGTTATTGAAATTCTTTAAACAGTTCTCGATGTGGCCGAAAATTACATTCGTTAGGTGGAAGGTGCAGTGAGCACAGTTTATAAATAAAAGCTTCGCAGTTCGCAGATAAGTTTAGCACCAATTTCTAAGCTTGGCAAGATGGGAGGCTCGGTGGGCCTGGACAAGGTCGAACTAACCCCAGGGTAGGTTGGGCCGTCCACCCTTTGAACAGAATCACTGCCAGCACTGCGCTGCACATTCCCGTGGTGTCTTCAGTAGAAAAAAATCTTTCTGTAAAATTGCATGTTCGGGTAGTGAAGTAAGCCTCAAGAATGATGACTACAGAGGGCGAACAATGAATAAAATAAGTTATTTTGCGTATTTTGCTAAATTTCCTTTCCATTTCGTGTAATTGTGGACTATTTTTAGAGCAAAGATCTCTCATCGGACAACAAACAAGAGGAGACAGGGTCAGGAGAAAAGGAGGAGACATCGAAAAGCAAAAGGTCACCAGCTGCAGTAGTTTATTCGTTCGATGCCATAATTAGATTAGTGAAGCTGAAAGATAGATAGTCCCAAATAACAATGGGCGAAAGTCATGTGATGATAAGCTAGGAACTTGACGAACTCGTAGGGCAGAAGAAAATTAGATGTTAATTAATGCTTTCGTTAATAAAAGTCACAATTTCAAGAGAACCAAAAAAGGCATTTTGTGCAATCTACTGTCACCATTTCAGTAAGACTTCGCATACTCGAAAAACTAGGAGATTGAAATAACGAAAAAAGAAAACAGTATAAGTGAGTCCCTTCATCAAATTTTAAACCTCGAAGTGATACCCGAAAACTATTTTAGGCATAATGCTAACCTTTTATTTTCTGCCTACTATAATTCTTCACGGCAGGGTATGATGTGAATTAAAACCACAACGATAAAGAGATATTGGATTTCCCGCTCCGGAGGTTCACGCATTAAACACTGCGCCACAGAGGCCCTTGCTCTGCGTTTCTCTCAGCTTGTTTTCCACCTAACGCTGCCATCAGTAATCACCCTCCAACGGGACTGATCTAGTGAGCCAGAATCGGCAACAAACCTAGTTAAACTGAGGCTGTAGTCGAAATGACAATGCTATCCTTTTATTTTCTGCCTACTACAATTTTTCACGGTAGGATATGATGTGAATTACAACCACTACGATTCTGTGAACATTTTAGGCTTACTTTTCACAAATACTTAACTTTTTTGCTTAAAAAGGTAGTTAGAAGTCTTCAGAGTCTTCAGAATTTAGAATATCGGAGTCGTGTCAACCTCCCCCCCTCCTCCTACCCCACATTATTCTGTTCTGGTTTCCGATGTTCCTTTTCAGGATATTTTCTATGCTATTTCAACTCAATCGTCATATGTCAGTAAAAGTCGGCGTTATCTTGTCAAGCTCGCTTGAATAAAAATATTTACTTATTATCTCCATCATATAAGTCATTTGTGGGATTTCACTAATTTTTTCCATAAATACTTTTCGAAGTCAATTACATTCAGCTTAAGGGCTTTGTTAACAATAATCAGTCATAAAGATTTTGCCACCGTTCTAATTGTCCCACTACAGAATTTTTTTCCATAAATTATGAATCTCCAATAGTTGCCTTACCACGAGTAGGAGTGTTCTGAGACTAAATGCAATGTATGGAAGAAAGTTAATCCTCTCCTTAGGTCCAACCAAGCAGGAGGGTCCGATATTTCGGCTTGGAAACAGGAGAAGATCTTGAGCTAAGCCACTCTTAGAAGTCGTCGACGTCCTGGAAGCAACCTAGTACCACGGTGGTAGATTTTGGCCTCACATCGTCTCCGTCGACTACGCCGAAATTTCAAAAATCCAGTGTCCTGGAGGAGTCACGCATCTGGGTCGGCGCCTAATGCTTAAAAGTGCTCACTGTGTTTGTCAATAATCCTACGGACAAGTAAATACTGGTCAGAAGCTACTTGGTAGTTCTGCGATCTCCCCAACACATTCGCTGCAATTTTTTGTGTGGCCAACGCATAGGACGAGGATCAGTCCTCAGTAGTTATGGACATGCTGATTTTCTGAAAATAGGCGATATTTTTTCGATCACCAGAGAACTTGAGGAGTTGACAACATGACAGAATTTCAGAGGTTTTGCACTATCGCTATACTGCTCTGAATGATATGTGCTATTCTTCTCACCCTAATGTTATTTAGTTATATATAATATGGCACACAAAGCGTAGAAGCTTTTGTAATTCGTTGCAGATGTTACCAGAATGTTCCGAGTTCCTGGTTTTCTTGCTGAAAAGGAAGATGTGCAGAGTAGACGTGAAGTTCCAGTACGCTATTGTAGATGTCACGAGGGTAGAAATCAGCACTTACGCGAGTAGAGCAGTCAGCATTTACTCAATTGCAGTAACTCAAGAGGTGCTGACCACATCACACACAGAAGAGATTGTGGGCTACCCAATCAAAACTTCTTCTCCAATCTGGCGTTAGCTTGGTACACCAAGAGGATGCCACCAACCATTTGTTTGTGGACATCTGCACCAATCCACAGCGAGAGAAATATGCGGCGCTCGCGCAACAATCCGCATCCACGCTATTCTACTCGGATCAAAGAGTCACACAATACGAACGACATCATCTTCAAATTCGTGCACTGTTTTATAGCTAGATCTGACTTAGCAGAGGGTGATACGTGTTGTATATATATATGCATGTGTGTATGTATTATGTATGTATGTATGTGCATGTATGTATGTATGCGTTTGTATGTATGTTTGTGTTTGTGTGTTTATGTGTGTAAGCATTTACAAAAGGCATAAGTAGTTCGGAGTTTATTTCTTAAGTCTGATTCGAATTTTAAAAACAATATAGCACCAGTCTGAGGCAACGTTCATTTGAGTGCATTATGACTAATCTATCAGAATCTGCACTAAATTATCAGACAACATGACCAGTGATTGCAATTCCTCTCACTGTCATAGTTTAGTTGTTCAAATAAATTTGGCTACGAGAGTGTGGACACCATTTTCTCCCTGTCACCTGTATCACCTGTACTCCCGCTGATCGTCTAGTGACTCGAACGGGCGCCAATAAATCCTCCATTTTTCCTGTCGCGTGAAAGAGTAGCCCAGTGAGTTATGCTCGCACTACGGACTCGTCGAGCACGATATCTTTCTTCTAAGCTTTCCGTGAAGAACTCTGACCATCGAGTCGGTGGTCTTCCTGCAGTGCGTTTAACATCCCGAGGAATCCAGTCACAAACGGCTGTTATCCATCGGTTGTCATTCATACGCATTACGTGTCTGGCCCCGCTTATCTTCGACTGTTTTGCGTACAGAACGGCATCTTTGACATTTGTTCGACGACGGTGTTTGACGCAGGTCGGAGCTTCAGATCCCTTCCCTTACTTGCGCGAAACGAGATACTCCTAGCATCGCACTTTTGACTGCGCGCTCCATAACGCTGAGTGAGCTTTCGCATTGCTTACGCAGGGCTACCAGATTTTTGAAGCATACGTTAAGGTGGGAGGTACCGTTGAGTCGAAAAGGTAGGCATGGAGTCGGGTGTTCTTTGTGCTCTACATCCTCGATGCTTTTGAAAGCCCCCAAGCCGCTCGTTTCCGTCTACTCAACTCTGGAGCTAAGTCGTTCATCATGTTGATTTCCCGACCCAGATAGACATAACTGGAGCATTCGGAGATATTCGTTCCGTTGAGCATCAATAGGGCATACGTAACCAAGCCGCTCCTTATGAACATCGTTTCTGTGAGACTTAGTCGAAAACCAATCCTTCCACAGGCTTTATCGAAGTCGGCAAGCATTCGTTCCGCTTGGCTAATGTTTCGTGTTATAAGGATGATTTCATCAGCAAAGGGAAGATAGCGTAATCATTGACCATCGATTTCCACTCCCATATTATCCCATTCCAATGTTCGCATAACGTTCTGTAGAGTGGCGGTAAATAATTTTTTCAAGATGGTTTCGCTTTGCCTAACCCCTCTTTTGACATCAATATCGTTGTAGAATGGTGATATTTTGGTTGTGAAATTTTGGTACAGCTCGCGAAGAATCTTTATTTACTGAGCAAGGACTCCCTGACTATCAAGGGCTTCCATGACTGCTTCTGTCTCAATTGAGTCAAAGGCCTTCTTTAAATCGATGAAAGTGAGGCAGAGCGGCCTTTTGTACTCTCGCGACACTTCAATGAGCTTTGTTATGGTGTCGATGTGTTCCATCGCACTAATTCCTTTTCGAAACTCTGCTTGCTCACGCGGCTGTCCTTCGTCCACTGTTCTCTCAATCCTGTTTAGGATGACTCGAATGAAAAGTTTGTAGACGACAGACAGCAAGCAGATTGGGCGATAGTTGCCGATATCGTGTAGGTCACCTTTCTTGGACAATAGCACGGTCTTGCTGGTGTTCCACTGATTAAGGACCTTCCATTCAGACAGGTAACGTTTGAAGAGCCGAGCCAGTGTGTTTACGACGACTGGAGGAAGGTTCTTCAGGTGTTCTGGTCTTATCCTGTCCGGACCTGGCGCTGTTCGATTTTTCACCAACGAAATGGCATATCGGATTTCGGAAAGGAGAACCGGTGGTACAACATATCCAGCCTCCTTTATTTCATATGACGGAAGGTGGACGTAGCTATCGAAGAGATCCGAGTAGTATTCGTGAATGATTTTCTCCACTGCCTTTCTGGACGCCGTAACTGTTCTATCTGGGCGTCGGAGTGCAATGGTCTTGGTATTGTAATTGGTGAAGCTTCTGTGGTCTTTGCGAATGTTTTTACCAGCCTCTGCAGCTTCGACCATTACTACTGCCCTTCTCTCTTCAAGATCTTCTTTTGTCGCCTGCCTGCATTGTTTTGCAAGTTCGGACGTTAGTTCGCGGTTGCCTGCAGCCCGTGCGATTCCACGCTGGCGTATCAGTTCAAGTGTTTCTGGAGACTGACGTCTCTTTGTGACTTTCGAACTCTCGGCCTTCGTTGCGCTAACGTGAAAATGTTGAATGAGTCGATCGTATTCTTCGTCGATGTTGTCGACAACAGCATCTTCCCAACGGCCGACTAATGAATTGAATAAGTCCCTGTTTACGGTGGTCCAGGGACTTCGGTTTTTGAATTTGGCGTTTTTTCCCTTTTCCGCGAGAAATAGAATCTTGCACGAAGGAGGCGGTGGTCTGATCCCGTGTAGAATTTTGAGACAACAACGACATCGGTTAGGCAAAACTTTCTATTTACTATGATGTGTTCTATTTCGTTATGGTACTCTCTATTGGGAAACTCGCATGTCCAGCATTGAAGGTGGAGCTTCCGGAATTGTGACTTACCATGGATTGTATTGGTCGCTATGATAAATTCAAACAGTCGCTTCCCCTGTTCATCCCATTCTAATGCATTGGTTCCAATGTGACGTTCGTCAGACGTTCTTCTTGGTCCAATCTTGGCGTTGAAATCTCCAATGATGACTTTGAAGAATGTATGGTCTTCTCCGTAGAACTTTTCCAAGTCCACATAGAACGCTTCGACTTCTTCTTCATCACAGTTTGATGTTGGCGCGTACAC